CACAATTTATCCCGTTGACAAAAAAGATAGGGCATCGCTGCACGTTGTTAAACTTAGGAGAAACTCAATCTAAGGCAAACTCCAAAAACTTGAACCCCCAAAAAAGAAACCGAGGAAAGCGAAAAACAGGAACCAGCATGCCGCAGAATCCTTTTAATAACACTGAATCACATATAAATCAACCTATCAATGCCTAACAAAAACAGAAGCACAAAAAAAGCGCGTTTTGTTTGCAGCCTACCGCCGTCAAACGAAGTGAATGTCTGTTGGAACTATTTCAATTTTTAGACCAACAAGCTTGACATGTATACGGCTCCGTAACAGTTTTCACTTGCTCAGGAAGTTGATTCTGGAAAAACCAAGAAGTTGTTAAAGAATTAGCCACGGAACTACGATAGTCGGACTACCGGTCACCGATCGTTTTTCAAGTTATGTGTCGTTTTCTTGAGCTGTTCTGTTTGCTGAACGAAGCTGCTGCGATCCCGAAAGGCTTTTCTCCATCCAGCATATTTATTTCCGAACCAGAATATTCTAAAAATGACCTGTTTCCTATGCTAGTTTTAAGCGGGTCACTAATCCCTTATTGAGTTATTGCTCTTTTTTTTCCGCGAGTTCATTTTTTCCAGGAACCATTCGTTGGCTCAAACGTCCAATCCAGGGCTTGCGTATATTTGTTAGAATGCTCTAGAACTAGGCTATTTAAATGTACTTGTTGATTAGAGGCCACAGTCTTTCTTCTGTGCCATGTGTAGGTTTTTACGTTAGCTTGTTTTTTTTTTTTTGCACAAGCTTGCCACAGTTCCGGAAGACCTCGCTTGTATTGGGTTCTCGTGTTTGGATCAGTCTACAGTGATTACAAAGCTCCAGAATCAGTCTAGGCAGCGACATTTCTGATTTGTTGCAAGCATTTTTTTTGTGTAGCCGGGCCGGCCAGCGACTTATATACAGACGCGTTCATTTCTAATTTAGTGTGAAAATATTTTTTGCGCAGGGACCAAGACTATGGTAGCATGGCCGGCTGGCGACCTGGACAACTGTTGATCTAGGTTCATATATTAAGACGTTTTTACCAGCCATGCTGTGGGAGATTTGCGGCCAAATTAGTGACATTCTATTTGTCAAAATTCTGACAACAAGCTATTTGCTGAATTTAGTTGAAAATTGGTTTTTTCGCTGAGTTATTACCCGACATGTGTTATCGTGTCCAGTTTTATATAATGATGGCCAACGTTCAAAGTGAGCGTTGTTTACCAAGATTATATTTTTGGAGGTTTGCGGATTTTTCTTACATTATTCCTTTCTTTAAAACTGTGGCTGTTGGTTTATTGTTGTTTTGTATTGATCTTTGGCGTCATCGTCGTCAAGATTTCTGCTGAAATGTGGCGTTGGGGATGGTTTTCTCATTTACTACTTTTTTAAACTTCTTCTTTAGGATTGAGTTTTTCTAGGAGCACACAATTTTTTTTTCTTCTTCGCATATAAATTTCTTCGAGTGTGTTTCTGACATAAGTAAACTGTTTTAAGAGGGATTACCGAGCTTTTTTTTTCTTTTTTTTTTGAAAATCTGCAACAGAGTGGAGTGGGTTGGTATACAGCTGGACTGACTGATTTTTTCCACTTACCATTCAACTATTTTTTTGTCATTTATTAGTTTATTTCTAGATTGTTTTTATTATGTATAACTGCTGTCTGTATTTTATTTTTGTTTCTTCTCCAAATCCTACTGAGGGTGAGACGTTTTAAGGCACTGACTATGTTTCTTTGTATTTACGAGGTATTTTGGAGGACAATATTTCACTTTACTGCCAGTATATGATGCGTTAAGCAATATGTTTTTAAAATCACAGATTTATCACTGAGCAGTAGGTCTTTACCAGTTGAAAAGTATTTACGTTTAGAGCAATAGTTACAAATTAAACGTTGCCTATGAATTGAGCAGTATTTACACATACTCTCCTGATGTGCGTCTCCACCGGTGCCTAGTCGTCGCCGGTCACGGAAACCTGGGATCGCCAAGCAGCCGTCCTACTTCTACAAAAGCGGCAGGTTTGGGAGGTTTGACGTCGTGTGCATACTTGAACTTACTCAGCTACTTTACACTGTTCCACCCAGTTGTGCAGGAAATGTTGAGGAGGTTCATTCATTTTCTGGAGTGAAGAACGTACACTGTTTGGTTTTTTTGTGGGTTTCTTGCGTAGAACAATGTCGATGTAACCTGATTGAACCCTAAGGTCTCGCAGCTCTTCGACCCTGACATTGGGATATGCCTCCTTCGCGACCTCCTTTTTCAGCCAGCCCCAGAAGAGTTTCATCGCGGAAAACTGACAGTGAAAGGGCGGTAGTCGAAGAATCTCAACCTCACTGTCCTTCGCAGCTTTGTCAATTATGTCAGTTTGGAACTCTTCTTCTCTCTCAATGGTGTGATGATGAATAGCCTGCAGCAGCAACTCCTTTGTCCACGTCGGATCAAAGGGAACCTCGTGCTGTTGCAGAGATGCCGCCATAGTATCTTTCGCGCCCGCTTAGGTGGGGATTCTGTCGAGTCGTTTTGAGTGGTACGAAGTATTGTCGAGCACCAGGACGACGCTGTTACTGCCATATGCGTTCTTCAAATGGGCAGTAAGTCAGGTGAACCACGTTTTTTAGGCCTCGAAGCTCATGTCCCGGTGGTATTCGTCATCTTCATTCTGCTGCCCCGATTTCGACACTTCCTCAGCCCCTTTCATCGCACCTTCCACTGTCAGATAATCCAAAACCATAAGTCTTCTCTCACGGGAATTCGGAGCTGGCGGTGGAACTGCTCCAGAGAACAAGTCCTGCTAGTTCTGTGGAGTGACCCAATCCCTACGGTGCTCCATGCCGCTCCACATCTATATTTCAACTGTGTAGGTGACAGTCTTCCCGCGGTGCCTGCGTTGTTGGAATCGTCCCACGTGCCGAACGCGGAGGCGGCGGAAGCACTTGGATTTGGCCAACGCGGGACTGCGCTGATATTAGTTAGATTTATCTGAGTTACCGTGCTACTTACCTGTCACTAACCTATTTTGGCAATATTTTTCTTCTCACACCGGCTATGATTAAGGATTTGGTGTGTCCTTTTTCCATGACTTGTGAACCTAAGGGCAAGGCGTCCATGATAAAGAAAAAATAGCAACCAGTTCCCTGAATTCAAAGCTTTATGCACGGATTTTGCAATAGATATTCCTAACTCGGCGATACAGTCTTTTCTGTTCAAGACCCTGTGTCTTTTCAATGGAGCATTCAGAAGAAGGTTGCAGTTTTCGTGTTACTATCGGTGAGGCGAAAAAGACCATTACTTTTGCTTTGATTCGGGAGACGTCGAAACAGTTCCAGTTGATTGCCCGGGTGATTTGATAAGCCCAGAGGCACCAGTTAAAGGAACTCATTTGGATATGTTGGCTGAAGTTCTGATGGCATACCGATCGTCTCTTGCTCAACGAGAGCAGAACAATTACGTAACAGAACCGAGAACAGAATGACTCGGCTGTTAAACAACGTAGCTGTGGTTTTTTTTGCACAGGGTTAAAAAAGAATACAGTTTTAAAACCGGATGTTTAGTCAATTTTTTGTATTCTCTGAAAGAAGTAACGCGTAACTTACGAATCGGTCGTAGTAATTGGGTGCTTCCTTGCTTTAAAGTATCATAATTACTCTCAGACTTGATATCTTGTGACTGGGCCTGAATGTAATAAAAATGGGTTGTTTCGAAAGTTTTAGGAAGTTTTAGTATTCTATTTCTTGCTGCATTTTGCTTTATAATAACGGTGTTTTTTTTTTTCTGGAAAAAAATTTCCGGGTTTTTTGAGTTCTAACCTTCTTAGTTACACGAACATTTAATCCTGTTAAGCAGTCCTTAAGTGAGTAAGCACCTTGAAATTTTTGAACTTTGAGAGAAATTGTAACCTGCTTTGGTCTCATTGCGATACAAAGATAGCGATGGATTAAAAATTCAGAAGAAAATGGTCATTCTCCTGAATGTTCACAGAGTTAACTTTTTACTGCTTGCAAAGCGCGAACGCGGTGGATACTTGCTGTCACTGAGTTCTGGAATGTAGCTTCCGCCAGGCTGTTATTTAGAGAAGACTTGGCATTGGGTAATGCATTACGGACGGCCACAACAGTGGCGATTCCGTTCAGCAGATTGAGTTGAAAACGATGTATGGTAAGACCGCTGCCTACCAAAATTTTCAGTTGTGTACGCACGTGACTAATACGCGTTCGGACTTATATGGGGCCATCCAACTTGAGAGTCTTGAGGGTCTGTCTGACAGAAGTTAGCGAGCGGTCTGACAGACGTTGCTTACCGTTACTGCTGCTTTGTAGCAGCAAGTCAGTCAACAGTTTACTTTTTCTACTCTTTCTTCGTACCATAGCTTGTTTCTACACTCATGAGTCTCTTGTACCTGCCCTTTCAAATAAAACCAGACGCCTGTATCATAATGGAGGTGTTTAACAAAAAGATGTGGTTAGAGGAGGCATTGTTATGAATACTGTTAAAATGGTCTGATGAAAGAAATCTACTTTGAAAATTGAGAATGACTGCGGGAAAATGAGAAGTTAGGGTACTTTTTGCGGACAAAAAGTGCATTAAAAATTTGTAAGGTTGGATTGTAAAGAACGTTCTCGCCGTCTGAGTCATTTTGAAGGACGTAAACTGTTTGAAGAGAATTACTTGGCAGTTTAATACAACAAAGAGACGCACGACTACGTGTATTTTTTTTATTCGTTAGGCATCCGCTTAGTAATAATAGGATTCGAAAAGCTTCAAATTCTTCCCATTCTGGAGCAATTTAGATGCCACTGGACAAGACAAGTATTAAAGAAAGTTGCAGAATTACGAGTATATTTTGCATTATTAGCTTGGGTGGCTCCACCTCAAAATATCTGCTAAATACTGCCTTTGAGAACTTACTAGACTTCGAAAAGGGAAATAGTTGTTTAATATAGGGCATAAGACTGTTGCATCCATTATCAGGATGCTATTAAATGTCTCAATAAAACGCGTTTTTTTTTCTTATTTTTTCCGCTGACAGGAAAGAATTAATTGAGCATTATAAAATGAATGTTGAGTATTCTTACAAATTCTCTTCAGGACATCAAAATAGTAGTTGTAGTTGGCGTGATGCGAAATACAGTAAAGATTTCTCAAGAGTCCAGCCTACATGAGGCATAAAATCGATCAAATTCTTGACTGGTTTTTTGTGTCTTTTGTAAAACGGTGCTTGCAGATTTAATAATCCAAAGGGAAGCAGAAACTTTTTGGCATTTTCATCCTGCCATCACTTGCTTTATACATTTTGTAGATCGACCTCTCAGAATCGTATAAGGTGTCGCCTGTTGAGACCGCATTTATTCAGAAGACCAGGAGCAAAACTCGAAAACATTTTAGTGTACATGTGAACTTTCTAGAACAATAGCTGTTAATGTTTCCGGACTCGTGCTGCTCGCTTCTGATGTTCAAGAGCTGATACTGAAGGCGTGATAAAAATTAAAAGGGCGATTGCAGGAGAGAAACTGCCTTAATATACTAGAACTTATGTACAAACGTTTGAGGTCTCTTTGCCTCTCCGTTCCCCAATACTGTTTGAAAAAAATTCGCGTAGCGTAGTCTTGCTAAGGTAACGGCCTTTCACCGTTTGCGATGTAGCGCTGTGAACCTGCAAAAGGGTTTTCACACTCAGATTTGAAAAAAGATTGTAAATAAGTAATATGGAACTAGGAAAAAATATCGAGTCTTTTTTGATGGAAAAATTTACTTCTACTGCAACGTAGTCCCCAGGTTCTAGAGCGCCCGGTTTATTCGTTCCAAGCGAGTCAATTCCATCGACAATTGCGACAGTTCCGCCATCTGTCAATCCCGCCATATTCTCAGGTGAACGTTTGCTCCTCTTAAATCAGTCTAAGGATAAAGAGTAGAGTGCTAACACACATGACTGATTAGAAATATCTCTTTTCGGTCTCTCTCAACATTCAGTAAACGCAGAAATAAAAACCTTCTCCAGAAGAACGAGCTGAATTGAACCAATAAGTTTTCTGTTTACTTCCATTGCAACATCTCGAAATGTTGCAGCCAGTTCAAGATGACGACGTCGTTTAACCTCAGGTGGAACATTATCCAGAAGCCTCTTACTTGCTTGCGTTTTCTGCAAAATTTCTGGTCAAGGTGTTTTTGTAATTATATCACCCGGAGTTAGGAGGGCACTAATTGACTAATGCGACAAATACAGCTCAATGTAATCACGGTTAAAACATTTGGTAACATTAACGGCTGAGCTAAAGATTGTCTCCTTTGCAATAATTGAGCCAAAAATTGTCCTTAAGCATAAGGAAAGGTGTTGAAAAAGCGAAATTTGAGAAGTAGCACAGGAATTGTTTCACAACTATTACTAGTGCATTTAGAACCACTTTTTAAACAATGACCCTGTTTAGGCAATGTGAAGAAGTACGCAAAAGTAAATAAAAGGAAAATATTAAAAAAAGAGAGCAAGGTCATCCACTTCAAGGAATGACGTGACATGCAGCTTTTCCAAAACTTATTATTGACATAAATAGGTCAACAGATCAAGAATATAGAAATTAAAAAATATTGAAAGGCTGAAGACAAGCAATCAATTTTAAAAAGGGGCCAGTAATTTACCTCACGCATACTGTACGGATATACATAACAAAATGAATAGCCGATCTTCTTAATAAGCTCAAGAGAACGTTGATGGTCCTCCTCACTTTCCTCACAAAATCCAGCGATAAAGTCACTCGTTAGGCTGACATCTAAAAAACCTTCGCTTTCTGTAGCCTATATTTGGAATATAATGACTAACTAGTGGAGCAAAAAGATCAAAGTACCCTTAATTATCCCTCTTATTTCTTCTACAAGTCGCAAGTAAGCTTCAACAGTATATCCCCGTCCCATCCTCTCCAATACAGTAGTACTTCCACTCTGAGCCGGTAAATGCAACTGTTTGCAAACATTGTCACGTTCGGCAATCAGATGAATCAACTTCAATAAAATCTGCTTTGCACGAAACAGTAAACAAAGGAGCTACAATGTAAGCAGAATGACAAAAAGTCAACCTGTAAAGGGAAATCTTTTGGATGAGGAGAAGTAAACCGGATCCTTAACTCGGGGTTAATTTTGGAAGCTTCGTCTAAAAGAGTAAGAAATGTTCTTCCACCAGTTTTCGGTTTATACACAGTTCTGAAACCAGAAGCTAGGCCATCCTCAGTTACAGACAAGGAGGGAAAAGCAAGCTCGGAATAATCACGGTAACTGTTCACATTTTGGCCCAGCAAAGTAATCTGCTTGAAACCCTGGAAACCAAATTAATTTGTCCAAAAAAAGATTAAAATAGGTAGAATTAAACCATTCCAGTAACAGACTACCTCACCAACAAGCCTTCTAATTTCTTCCAAAATTGATTTCATTGGCCTACTTCTCTCCCTACCGCGAGTAAAGGGCACGACGCAGTAAGTACACATATTGTCACATCCGCGCATAATACTTCTGGAAGAAATGGGGATTTTTGCGCTACCAAATTTTCCGTGAACAAAAAGTGCTGCCCACCAACTACACAAAATAGGTCTCACACAAAAGCATTTTTAGAGGCGACATCTGTCCGTATGGGCGCGATATCAGCGTAAGTTTCCTCTAAAGACAATTGAACATTCATCGCTTTCCCTCCTCGCTTGACCACAGCTAATAAGCGAGGCAGATCCCGATATGAATCTGGTCCGGCAATTACCTGAACATCTCGATCTTGCGAGAAAGCGGTGTCTTTGAGACGTTCTGCCATACACCCTGGAAAGAGATATTAGCTCGATCTTACAAAATAAAAAGTTTCCTGACAGAAAATTAGAGCGTGTATAATTTCCAAAATCACTTTCATTTTAATTTCCAAATGCAACAAAAAAAAATCCTAATTTCTCACCAGTTAGTTTCAAAACATTCATTAACATTGGGCTGCCTTGTCAACCAAAAATTCCTTTAACAAAGCAATTTAAAAAAAAAAAAAGTTTCTAGTTTCCTAACCAAGTAAACAAATAATGGCATGTTTATTAATCCCTCTGATATTTTTCAGCCTTTGCCATACCTTACGCTCAGCACTTTCTCGAATCGAGCAGGTCATTAACATCACCACATCTGCCTAAAGAAAATTCTATAACCCGATGCCCTTCAGCTATCACAGACAGCCACCGCTGCCTCACTAAAAGTACTGTTATCTCCTTTAACGTGAAATAACAACAACCAAGCAGCCGATCGCCTTGAGAAATTGTTATTTCACGTAGCCTGTTGAAAGTTAATACACAGAACTGACTAAAGCTGCCAGGAAACCTTCATCATCAGTCAAGCCTGGGCAGAATGTGGCGTTTTCAAAAGCATTATTAAGCAATAACACAAATCTTCACTACATACTTCGCTTAAAGCGTCTGTCTCTGCATATCCATTTGAAAACATAAGTGCTCTGACAATTTCCACGTCATTAGCATTCATCTGACAACCGTACTTTATAAAGTAAACTGCAAGCGAAAAAATGTCGAGAAATTTTAACATGCGACTGAGTAACTTTAGCTAAAATTATAAAATTGCAAAAAAATATGGTCTCTAGAAACCTTAATTCACCTAATGTCAAGCTAGCTGAAACTTAAGAGAGAACTTATTATTTATGATAAGGAAGCAAAAGTTATTCAAAATTTCAAAAGAAAAAAACTGCTCAAATCAATGCACGATTTGAAATGCGATTGTTAACTTTATGAAAAGAATAAACTTCCAAGTACTACCACAAGCAGCTGTTAACGTCACTTCAAGTTACCTTTCAGTCCATTACCGAAATAATCGTTTGCACACAAATATTGCTCTGTTGTGGGTTTCAGAGGAAATATTTTTTGGTTCCTTTTGTTTATTGCCTTGATGAAGCTTCTCAAGTCTGGGCCGTCTGAAAACAGCTTTAAATAACAGCTTTTCAACCCTGAAACTAAAAAGTGAAAGATTTCAGAAGAAATGTTTTCTAAATCAATTGTGAAAGAAAATTCATTTAAAAAATGCTTTTTAAATGAAGGAAACCTGGAATTAAAGTTGGTTTCTTCAACTCACGCTTCTCCATGTGATCATCCTGATGCAAAGCGGTCTTACCTGTACCATGTAGAAGGCATACTGGTGCAGAGAGCCGAAAGATAATAAAGCTTCGAAGCGAAACTAATCTACTGTATGCCATCTCAATCATCAAAAAGCTAGAAAAAAAAAGGCAAATCTCCTTACCAATGAAAGGCATAAGTAAAACAACGCTAAAATACATCAGTAGTTGACAGCTCATTTTTATAGTAAGCATTGAAAAAATCTGTACTTCTTAACAACTACTCCGGCTTTGTCCAAATAGACTCCTGTAATTCTCTATCTCAGAAACTCTGTGGCGACTTTATCTAGCATTTTAACTGTAATTACAATCATAACTCTCTAGCATACAATTTCTCAACCTGTGAACGTAAAATTATCAAAAAGACCACGCTGAATGGTAATAATTCCCTTACGCTCCCCGTTACACCGTACTATACACTACCTCAGCTTCCATTACCACTGATTTCACTACCCTCCTATTAGTCTCAATCTTGCTTTATTTCAAAGAAAGAATCCGAAATTCCGCTAGAGTTGTCAATTGCCAACCTACTCGAAGCTGTCAATAATCTAGAGAAACACCTCAGCCGCGCAGGCAAATTGAAAATGAATTCTCAATATCTGATAAAAATGGCAGATACTATGATAACAAAACTCCCAATAAACCTCGGGAGAGAAAAAAAAAAGGAGACAACTGCAGAAGCTTTTGCAATTTTACGAGCCTTCCACACCAAAAGCTACGCCCCTAAATCCAGCGAAAAGAGCCATTCACAGAAAAAAACTAAAGTAAAGCACTGTCTGACAAGAAATTCAAGATCGAGAAGTGACGTAACATTTTATCAGAAACTCTTCTTAAAGCAAAACAGTATTGTAATTTTAATCCTCAAACGTCGAAATACAACAGTAGGATAAAATAACTTAATTAACTGTGGCAATAAAAAAACAAAATTAAGAAATGAGATCACTCTTTAACCAAGCCAATTACAGCACTGACAAACAAAAACGAAGAAGATATTATAATCGGTAAAATTATTTACAGTATTTTTGTAAAGAAAACAGTTCAATCAGGTTCATTAAAGTCATAATAGCGATTGAAAAAAAAGAAGGACAAAAAGCACCTTGAGTTACGTCAGCCAAGAGATGTACTGCATTCTTTTCAACATTTAAGAAAGATAAAAAAAGAATGCATGAAAAGTTCCGAGTTCGAACTTCTAGAATGGAAACGACCTGAATTAGCTGATTTTCAACCTTTTCCTGGCAACCTCGTTGTCCTTAAATCACAAAAAAGGACAGAAAGAAATCACAATAGGCAAGAAGAGTGAAAAAACGACTACGCACTTACCGTTCCAAATTCGTAATATTCGGGAGCAAGTTCATAAAGCCATTCGGGATCAATGACACTTATGTCACGTATTGAATTCTGCAGAACCTCAGAAAAAATAACCCTGCAATGCAGCTCAACAATACCGGCTCTGGAAAACTAATACCAGCGTGTTGATTCTCCCTCACTTGTCAAAAACAAATTCCATGCAAAGAAGTAGAAAAATTACCAATTAGGAAACTCTCTTCTGTACAAGATAGCTGAGCCTCGATAAACCTTGAAATGATGTTCGCCCCTAATGGTGACATAGTCACCTGAAGAGTCATATCTGGCGGCTTGAGAAAAAAAGCCTTTCACAAGACAACGAATTATAGAGGCACTAGATCCTTCAAAGCAATAAGTAATCAACATTTAAGACGGCTACCAGAGATGTAACTTGTTATAAAAACCTTATACCAGACTTCTCCTTCACAGACACCATAGGAATTTTATAGTGTTTTAAGAGACCGACCAATTGATCTCGAATGCTTTCGGCACGGCACAACCCACGATAATTGACATAATGTTCAGCACACCACCGTTTTGAACGACCGTTCTTTAAAGTAATTTACTTAAAAAAAAATGATATATCAACTTTAACAAAGCAAATTATTTTTACCCTTTGATAATAACTCTACAGTAATTCGTTCGCATCAAGCGTAAGGTTCCGAACTATTAAAATAGATATGCTTAGTGATAAAGGTACAAAACTTGCAAAAAAATTCCACACTAATGAATACCGAGATGAAACTGGCAAACACGTTTAACAAAGTTAAATGATCGCCCTCTTCGACAGAGAATTTTCTTCTAGATATCTCCTGTAAAATTGAAATGCTTAGTAAAATAACCTATAAAAAGAAAAAACATATAAGCTTGCTAACCGCCTTATGCTTCGCCCTGAAAGGGAAAGCAAATACATCTTGGATCTGTAGCATAGCGATAATAGTGGCCATTTCTTCGCTGCATCCAAACTCAACTAAATACTTCTTTTAGAAATCAAAAACACACTGCTGTATGGCCTCACCTGATGATAAAAGAGCTTTTGAGTGCATTGGAGATAAAGGGAATTCTGCCATCTGAATGCCTAACGGATTTGTCAATATTCCATCTTTCGAAAGCGCTCCCAAAGCATATAACAGCTGAAGCCCTTCAGCCATAGCGTACGACGACGGACGCTGCAAAACGCATCTCATTCATACATTCATAACAATTAGCAACTAACCACACTGAACAGAAAATAAAGTCAAGAAAGGTGTTCATTCATCTATGAATAAATAAACGTTTGGAATAACATTATTAATCACTATTCTGAAAATTTTTTAAAGGCACTGAGCAGTGATCATCAGAATAAAAAAAAAATCAAGAAGCAGCAGAAAAATTGACGAACCGATATGTAATTAAATTGAAGCACATTATTGATACCAAGTACTTTGAG